AACATCAGATCTGAGTGGTGGAAAGCAGCACTTTCCAGTGCCGCTTGGAGCCGTGAAAATGGTGTGGAGGAAGAGGGTTTTTCCAGCCGGGGAAGGGGGGCAGGCCGTCCTCGGGCCAGTGGCCTGGGGAGCGCTCGCCTTCCCTCGCCGTCTGAGGAGAAGCTTCCAGGCGGCTGCGTTCAGGGTGAGGCTCTCTGGGGTGCCTGCCCGGAGGGCTCAGCCAGGATTTGCGGGGAGGGAGCACGAGGCCAGTGGAGCAGCCACGGCATGTGCTGCTGAGGTTCGGGGTGGCGTTTTCTCATGGAGCGATGGGGAGGCAGCAGGATATTCAGATCTGTTCCAGGCGATCCTTGATAGCAATGACCCACGGGTCCAGTGGATTCGCGCAGGCCTGTTTGCGATTCTTGAGGATAAACCTGTTGGGTAGAAAGGCAGAGCCTCGTTCGAGTCCTTTCCCCATGGCCCCATCCCTAAGAAAGGGAGGCTCATGCCCCTCCCCATGCTGGAAGCCAAGCAGGGTCTGGCAGGAGAACGTCCTGCAGGGCAGGTCGGCCCCGGCGTGCGCAGCTCTGCTCCCGCCTCCTTGGCCTCCGCATCGCGGCCGCATTGCTCGGCCGGCTGGGACTTCTCCCCAGGGGGTGACTGTGCATGAGGTGAGCAAGCGGGGAGGGGAATGGGCCCGACTGGCAGGCCCCTCGGTGCACATCTGGAAGGTGAGCGCACCTGGACACGCCCGCCCACCTCCTGCCCGCCTTTGGGCACGTGCTGGGAGTGATCCTGCCCCCCTCCACATCTCCCCAGTCCCCAGACTTACACTATAGAAGGCAGGCGGCAGGTTCCACTGGTGTGGAAGAAGCTCTTCACAACGTGGGCCGGGATTTTCTTGCTGGTGTGCGCGGTGCAGCAGGGAGCATCGCCGACACCGACTGTAAGACGTGCCAAATCAGGCCAGCGTGAGTTTTTGGCGTGGACCGTGAGCCCCCTATCCTGGGCACCCACTTTCCACCCTGGAGCCGCCCCTCTGTTCTGGGTGCCCCCCCCCAGGGTGCTTTGCCCCGTCTGCGCCCAGCAGGGCACCCTTCCGCAACTCAGGTCCCTCCAGAAGGGCTTGACTGCCAGTCCCAGCATCTCTGGTGCGCTTGGGGATGCTGGGAATTGCAGTGCCAGCAGTCTAGATGGCGCCAGGCTGTAGAAGGTTGTTCCAGGTACGGTGCCCACCTGGGGACCAGTGCATCACTCTCCCTGAGGCCCTGCAGGGCGGGGAGTGTCTCTCTCGGCCGGGGCCTGCACTCCTTTTAAGTTTTGTATCAGATTTGTATCCCAGCAGCTTTCTTACGAGGAATTCTTACAAGGCGGCTCTCCTCCCCCCTCCCCCCTCTCTTATCCCCACCACGACAGCCCTGCGAGGGAGCTTGGGCTGAGCCCAAAGTCTCCCAGTTGGCCCCACGGCTGAGCGGGGACTAGAACCTGGGCCGCCCGAGTCCCAGCCCGCACTCAGCACCCTCCCAGCACCCTGGCTTCTGCTGCGCTCCCTCCTGCAGGACCACCGCTCTGTCCCTCACTGGCCCTCCGCTCAGAATGGCGGCGCTCAAAGACGGGGGCGTGTGGGTGGAGGATACTCACGGGGACTCGTGACGGCCAGGCAGAAGCAGGCCAGGACCAGGAGCATAGCGAAGGCAGCGGCAGAGGTCTTCATGCTGGGTGAAGCGGAAGAGCAGATGGCGGACTGTGCCAGGCGAGCGTCTCTGCTGCTTTGGTGCTTGGTTCATGCTGTGTTTCTCCTTTTTATACAAAAGTGGCTGCAGTGGTCATCATGGAAAAATGTGGTGTTTGTGTAAGGGGAAACCCCAGAATGACAATCCAAGAAAAGGCGTGTTGATTGTGCGCCTTGTAGAAAGGAGAAGTTGCATGATGAGACCTCAGGAAATCCTTCAGCACCATCCGGGGCCAATGCTTTCATGCGAAAGGCCTTTTCTAGTTCTCCCCCATGGGTGAGAGCCAGAGAGTGACACAGCAAGATAGAGAGGCAGGATATGGATTCCTCGCAGGAAGAGTCTTCCTCTGGTTTTCCCAGAACTGAGGGAGGTTTCTTGAAGGGCCTGTTCTGCTCCTCAGCTCCAAAACCTCGGAGGCATTTCCTGGCAGGAGGCCTCGTTCTGCTTCATGAGAAGCCACTTAGGGTACCCGCCTCCTCATCAAATAATTTCGAAAAACCTCTCTCCAAATAGCAATAAGCCTTCTTCAGAGCATGACTTTCGAGTGCCTTGCCAACATCAGGCAGTCTGGCCAAAGGCCTCTGTAGTCCAGAAGTGGGTTCCCACAGTGGCCACCGAAGCCACAGTGGGAAGACCACAGGCCAGGAAAGAAAATAAGAACAGCCCTGGATCAGCCCAGTGACCATCGAATAACAGCTCATAGGAGGATCCCTCATACAGGCTGGGTGCCCGGGAGCCCCGAGCCAGCAAAGCTAGTAGCCACAGATAGCCCCCTCTTCCAGGAACTCATCCAGTCTCCTTTGAAAGCCATCCAGCTGGGTGGCCATCGCCCTGTGGCAGCGCATCCCATAGATCAGTTCTATTGTGCATGAAAAGCGTCTCCTCTCATGTGTCCTAAACATCCCAGCAGTCGGCATGATGGGATGACCCTCGGCTTGAGCGTTATGGGGGAGAGAGAGAAATCGTTCTACTTCCTCCATGTCATGCAGCATTTTAAACGCCTCTCTTCTGGCTCTCTCACTTGCCTTTCTCTAAGCTGAACAGTCCCGGTTTTTGTAGCTGTTCTTCACAGGGCAGCTGCTTCAGCCCCCTGAGCGTTTCTGTTGCCCTTCTCTGTACCTTTTCCAACTCAATAATGCCCTTTTTCAAGTAAGACGACAACAACTGGACACGGTATTTCATATGTGGTCATGCCAAGTACTGTGCGCCTGCCTTGCCTTGCCTTCCTTGTCCATTATGCCAAACGTGGAATTTGTCTTCTTTGCGCCATGTGTCAGCATTTTCATCAAGCACAAGAAATCCCATTCACTTTTCCCAGCAACAGGCCTGAAATGGTGGGTAAGATGTAGCCATCAGGATTAGAAGCCCTCAAGAACGTTATCCTCCTGTATCTAAAATGTCCCCTTCATGGATCACGGCCTTGCTCGCGGCAAAGGGCCATGCATAGCACAATGAGGCTATGCTCAGGGGCACCCAAGACTGACAAAAGGTGATCCCCTGGAGAAGGAAATGGCGACCCACTCCAGTACCCTTGCCATGAAGACCCCGTGGACTTTTCCAAAAGGCAAAAAGATAAGACGCCGGAAGATGAGCCCCTCAGGTCGGAAGGTGTCCAATATGCTACTGGGGAAGAGCGGAGGGCTAGTACTAGTAGTGCCAGAAAGAATGAAGCGATTGGGTCAAAGCCGAAAGGACACTCAGTTGCAGATGTATCTGGTGGAGAAAGGAAAGTCTGATGCTGCAAAGATCTGTACTCCATAGGTTCCTGGAATGTAAGATCCATGAATCAAGGCAAGCTGGATGTGGTCAAGCAAGAGATGCCAAGACTGAACATCGACATCTTAGGAATCAGTGAACTAAAAGGGCCAGGAATGGGTGAATTTAATTCAGATGACCATCAGGTATACTACTGCGGGTGAGAATCCCTCAGAAGAAATGGAGTAGCCATCATAGTCGATAAAAGAGTAAGATAAGCAGTACTGAGATGCAGTCAGTGCACACTAAAAACCATCATGGCTGCCAAATGCCGCCAAGGAAAGAAAAAATGTTGGGGGCCAATTTCTACCCCCACTCTGTTCCATGGGTGACATCTGGATGCAGCCCCTGTGTGTTAGTTACATGATGCCACACATTAAAAGCCGACATTGAAATGAATTATCCACCGCTCCTCTCTTTTTCCAGCTGACTGTTTTGGACCCCACCCAGAGAGAACCATGGTGAGGATGCCCTCACTGCTCCATCACCAACTCCAGTTTTGCAAGGATCCTTATGTGCACCAGCAGATTTGAAGCTTCTACCCTCTCACAGGGTGCGGATTGTCTTTTGGTTTCTCTTCCTTGGAATGAAGTGTCTGCCTTCCACCTCAACAAGTACAGCCTCTTCCTGAATAATGTCTGCTTGTTCCAAGAAAGGAGGCAAACAATCTCACGCTCTTCTCTTTTTGATCTACCAACACAGATGCAAAGCATTTCAAAAGTGAAGGGAGTCGCTCATCCCCAGCAAAGCTGCGTTTACATCGTTTACCACTACAAAGTCTCCATACTGGAGTAGTATATGAATTTTGTAAATAAATTAATAACGCTGCTTCCCAGTGTTAATGAAGCTGCTAATAGATGCCGGTCTACTGCGTCTACTCTCAGTGTGCTGCAGAACTGAAACCCAAATACACGAGGTTCCTTTCCTTTCCTTTCCTTTCCTTTCCTTTCCTTTCCTTTCCTTTCCTTTCCTGCTTCACTGTCCCATTCTCTCTAGGTGGCACTCGGTGCATAAAACACTGCAAAGTGCGAAAATCTCACTTTTTTGGTATTAACAATTAAATGTGTAATTTCCCATTCCTAAAACAAAAACAAAAGCACCTCCCCCAAACTGTTGGACACAGAGGGGAAACTGGAGAGTCTACAGAACCCATAAGCGATAGGTATGCTATGCTAATGCTTTATTGTTATATGGGTTTTGTTTTTTGTTTGTATACTTTCCTGATATTTTTAACTGCCCAGAGAGCCTTTTGGCTGTTGGACAGAGTAAAATGAAAGAAATAAGCGGGGAGCTATGGGTGCGCAGCAAATGTGTCATGCGGATAAGTCCTATGAGTCCGTTGGTCATGCATTGTAGCGATGGGAACTGTGGGCAGCTAGCACAACTGGCTGTGGGAATAGGGGACACATCTGACGGCTATGAGGTTGGGGTTGGCTGCCATAAACAGTTACCTAGGAACAGGACCCTTTTCACAGAGCTGCGCTTGCTTCTACGATGACATATGTAGGATTGTGCTGGAAAGATCTTCACAGGAGAAATGGGCTTCTCTTGGGGTTCTGGTCTCTCCCGTACCATGTGAAGTGGCACAGAGAGGTCTGCTGGGGGAGGGAGCTGACACTCTCCGATCCTTCGAGGTGAGTCTTTTGCAGGGATGGAGATGTTCCTTCTGCTAACTTCTTCGTGCAAACTGCTTTCGAGAGCCAAGCTTCTCAGGTCTGAATTCAAGGCAAGGGAATAGCTCCAGACTTGGCTGGTCTCCCTCAAACAGCAGCTTTCGAGAAGTGATTCCTGCCATGGCAAAGCAGGGGACCAAAGCTGGGTCAAACAAAACTGTTGTCACTGTGACATTTCTGAGCTCTTCTGGATTGAGCCACACCACAAACCACACAACAGCAGAAGAGATGAGGAAGCCCATGTGGGCAGACTAGGTTTTTGAGCAAACGGAAAACCTCTCTTGCATCAACCAGCGCCTGGTTGCAGCTCTGTCCTGCTCAGTCACCTCATCTTCATGGAGGTGCGTCAGGGCTGCAATCCATGAGTTGGAGACGCACCCACTGCTGCCTTCCAGTTGTGCCAAGAGCCTTCAGATCAGCCTTCCATAAGTTGACAACCTCCAGACATGCTGGGCTTCAGTTCCATAATTCCCAGCCACTGGGACCAATATCTCTGGAGTGCCCCAGCTTGGGGAAGGCCAGAGGAAAGAAATGGTTCAGGAAGTGGCTTCATACTGAGCTAGGCCTTTTTAACACCTTTTGAGAGCTGAGGATTGAGGCCTTTGAATTGCGGTGCTGGAGGAGACTCCTGCGAGTCCCTTGGACCGCAAACCGGTCAGTCCTGGAGGAGATCAGCCCTGACTGCTCTTTAGAAGGCCAGATACTGAGGGTGAAGCTCAAATACTTTGGCCACCTAATGAGAAGGAAGGACTCCCTGGAGAAGAGCCTAATGCTGGGAACAATTGACGGCAAAAGAAGGAGGGGACGGCAGAGGATGAGGTGGCTGGATGGCGTCAATGGGGCGGTGGGTGTGAGCTTGAATGGACTCCGGGGGTGGTGGAGGACAGGAAGGCCTGGAGGAGTGTTGTCCATGGGGTCGCAATGGGTCGGACACGTCTTCGCGACTAACAACAACATTCTATACCCATGCTTGCTTCTTGGCTCTTTAGATGAGGACTGGTCTGTCTGATCCAGTCCTGTGCGCTGCAATGGCTCCTCGGGGTTTCAGCCTCAACCTGGAGATGCTGCCAGGTCTGGGACCTTCTGTAAGCAAAGAAAGGTTTTCACCAAGAGCTAAAGCCCCGCCATGCAAGAGCCAAGTAGGTCCACTTCCACTGGCTGTGGCTTCTTGGCTTCACTGCCACGTGAGTACACCTGACGGAGGGTGTTCAGCCTGTTTGGGATGGGGCTGCACTCCCTGAGTACGAGGGGTTCATAGACGGGAGGTTCTCCTGGAGCCGACTGGTACCTGAGGGCAGGTGGCCTTAGTGGCACCGAGCATGTTCTGCCCGCTCTGGCTGGGGGCCCAGCTACGACTGATCTGGACAGGGATAGCTTGGCTTCAGTAGTCTGTCTGTCTGTCTGTCTGTCTGTCTGTCTCTCCCTTCCTTCCTTCCTTCCTTCCTTCCTTCCTTCCTTCCTTTTTCGATTTGTATCCTGCCTTTTTCCTACAAAGGGCTCAAGGCAGCTTACATCATTCTCCTCCTCCATCTTATCCCCACAACAACAACCCTGTGAGGTAGGTTGGGCTGAGAGTCTGTGACTGGCCCAAGTCACCCAGTTGGCTCCACGGCCGAGCGGGGACTCGAACCCAGACCGTCTGAGTCCCATCCCAGGCTCTTCACCACGACGCCACACGGGCTCTCACACCACATGGGCTCTCAAGTCCAGTGGCCTCCAAGCTGGATTACTGCAATGCGCTCTGAATGAGAGTGCCCTTGTCCAGAAGCCACAGCTCATGCAGAAATGGCAGATTGATACATGTTGCTTTTATCATGCATTGTAAAGGTTTTGATCTCTGTGTTGGGCTGTCCAGAAATTCCGTAAATGAAATACAGTGATGCTGGCGCTCACTTTCCCTAGTGCGATTTCTGCCATAGGCACATTTGCCGTGTGTCACTCACAGCTCACGAGAAAGCTTTGGCATGCCCCTCTCGTGCCAGCCGGCCTTTCCACTCTGAACAGCAGCCTGGCAGCAGCCGAGAGCTGGGTCGCAGGGCAGGCCCCTGGATCAGGTGAATGCAGCCCTGTCCCCTTCCATGTTCCAGGAGGGCCGACAGGAGCAGGGAGGCTGCTGGCTTGCAGAGAGAGAGACACATTCTGCCAGAGGTGTGACACTGCTCTGGGCTGCTCAAGCTGGACAGAATTGACCCTCTGCAGAGCTGCTCTGGGGAAGTGGAGGCCCCACAGAGGAAGCCTTGGCGATGAATCAGCATCATGTGCCTGTTGCAGCAGTTCATGCTAAGCTCATTTCCTGTGAAAGAGGCCAGCTATGTGTGGTCCCGACCTGAGGCATTTTTCACTTTTGCTTTGGGGGATGCAAAGGGGGTGTTTTCCCCAATGTCGAAATCCCTGGAGGACTTCTGGGGTGAGGCCCAGGAAAGTCAGCAAAGGAACTGGTTATCGGCCTTAACTGCCATTACAGAGATCGGTGAATGGAAGACACCCGAGAATGAGGCTGGGTGGCTCACAGGTGCTGCCAGGAGCAGAGTTTAGCTGGCATATTTTTCTTGCTCAGGGTGGGACACAATCCTTGGCAGTGAGGCCGTGTGTTTCTTCACTTTTGCCTGTTTGTGTTTTCAGCTACAGCTGCCCAGAGAACACTAGTACCAATCAGCAGGCATGCGAATTTCAGCCCAGCTTTGAGCCCGCCCAGTGAAACTCTCCTGCCGTCTCAAGTTTAACGCTGCCAGCCGGGCATGGAACTCGGGCGGCTGTTGCTCGGGGCTGCAGGCCTCTCCCTAGAGACAGGGCTGCAAATGTCTGGTCAGGAATCTCTCTGGCCACGATGGATACGCAGCCATGGCAATAGGTCGCAGCCCAAGAGGATTCCTGGAGGAAGCAGCCCTCTTCCTCATGGGCCAGGAATGCAGCCTCCCTCCTCTGCTGATCGCCCCACCCGCCCAGACAGAGACCCCCACCGGGGTGCCCGAGGCAGCCGCCCGGCTGGAGCTGCCAGCCTTGCTGCTCCTCATCCGTGCCCCCACGGGCCGAGATGCACAACGCCTTTGGACTGCAAAGCTTTTGTTGGCTCCACTCTTCCTCAGTGCCCCACTGGGCTGCCTGAGGTCCAGCGTTCTCTGGATGCCAGATTACAAAACAACCAGCACACTTGCGGGAGAGGACAGCTTCAGAGGCCGATTTGAGGGTCCGGGGAAAGAAATGGAAAAACTTCCTTTAGTGGACTGACCCCAAACCATTAAGGCCGGGGATGCACAGATGCTGGCATCCCACGCAGGGCCTGGAAAAGGCTTTGCTTCCAGCACAGATGCAATGCACAGCCGCCCTGCTTTGGCCCAGGAGTGCTGCACAGGCGGCAAAGGCCCCAACGACTCTTTGGCCTCATCCTGTCTTGGGCAGAGGAGGCACACACTTGCCGATTAAAGCTGCAGACATCAATGAGCTGTTGTGGTTTTAAATTGTTATTTTGAAGTACTGTAAGCCATCCTGAGATATTTATATAAAGGACAACATATAAAAGCTTTGAATGAATGAATGAATGAATGAATGAATGAGAACTGCTTGTTTAATGTTTATTAATATGGTACCTTTGCCCAAAGGTCGTCATGCTATTAAAGTTAAAATACAGCAAAACCACAAAACCAGACCCCGGTTCCTCTTGGTCTGTGCAGTTGTGATTGAAAGGCAGTCAGTCTTTCCATGAGGCAATCTGAAGTTTGGCTTATTAGTGTGGAAAGCAATGACTGTGCAAGGAAGCCAAAGGCGGAAGCCGTGGAGGATGCGGATGAGACAGGCCTTCCTGGGCTGCCCCACACCAAACCAGGCATCCCCGGCCTGGGCTGACAGGCATGCCGGGAGTCCTCCTTGAACGCAGGCCCGGGAAGGTTGCACGGGAGGGGGTTGCAGGTCTGCACTGTCCGTTCCACATCCTGCAAGTGGAAAACTAGCTCAGCCGGCTTCAGCTCGAGAGCAGTGGCCAAACAGATGCCTCGAGGAAATCTTGCGAGCCAGGTGTGGAACCGGCGCTCCACGAAATCCCAGCAGAGCAGAGCTGGAGGGGACCAGAGGCCACCCGGTCCTGCCCCCTGCCCAGGGCGAGACTCCAAGTGAAGCCACCCCCTCCAGCACCTGGCCAGCTGCATCCGGAGTGCCTCCACTGAGGGAGAGCCCGCCACCTCCCTAGGAATGCAGCTATGCTTCCCCTTGCAGTGGCACAGGAAACGCCTTATCCTTCCGGGCAGGTGGGCAAAAGGAGGCCGGGCTGGGCAACACACCTGCTGTTGCTTACCAAGCAGCCCAAATCATGCGAGAGCTTTGGGGATGCGGTGGAAGAACTGGCACACCACGGGACTGCCTGCTCTCCAGGAAAAATATGGAGAACTTGTGAGGAATTCTTATACTGTCCCTGCCTTGACATTTGCCATTTAAGGCCAAGGAGAAGTGGAAATGGTGCTTTGTATGAAAGAGTTTGCCCCTGAATTATGTCAAATGATTTCCTGAGGTCTCACCAGGCAACTTCTCTTTTCTGCTAGTGGCACAATCTTGTCCTGTGACATCAACCCTCCTTTTCTTGGATCGTCATTCTGGGGTTTCCCCTTACACAAACACCACACTTTTCCATGATGACCGCTGCAGTCACTTTTGTATAAAACGGAGAAACACAGCATGAACCAAGCACCAAAGCAGCAGAGACGCTCACCTGGCACAGTCCGCCACCTGCTCTTCCGCTTCACCCAGCATGAAGACCTCTGCCGCTGCCTTCGCTATGCTCCTGGTCCTGGCCTGCTTCTGCCTGGCCGTCACGAGTCCCCGTGAGTGTCCTCCACCCACACGCCCCCGTCTTTGAGCGCCGCCATTCTGAGCGGAGGGCCAGTGAGGGACAGAGCGGTGGTCCTGCAGGAGGGAGCGCAGCAGAAGCCAGAGTGCTGGGGGGGTGCTGAGTGCGGCCCAGGTTCTAGTCCCCGCTCAGCCGTGGGGCCAACTGGGAGGCTTTGGGCTCAGCCCAAGCTCCCTCGCAGGGCTGCCGTGGTGGGGATAAGAGAGGGGGGAGGGGGGAGGAGAGCCGCCTTGTAAGAATTCCTCGTAAGAAAGCTGCTGGGATACAAATCTGATACAAAACTTAAAAGGAGTGCAGGCCCCGGCCGAGAGAGACACTCCCCGCCCTGCAGGGCCTCAGGGAGAGTGATGCACTGGTCCCCAGGTGGGCACCGTACCTGGAACAACCTTCTACAGCCTGGCGCCATCTAGACTGCTGGCACTGCAATTCCCAGCATCCCCAAGCGCACCAGAGATGCTGGGACTGGCAGTCAAGCCCTTCTGGAGGGACCTGAGTTGCGGAAGGGTGCCCTGCTGGGCGCAGACGGGGCAAAGCACCCTGGGGGGGGGGCACCCAGAACAGAGGGGCGGCTCCAGGGTGGAAAGTGGGTGCCCAGGATAGGGGGCTCACGGTCCACGCCAAAAACTCACGCATTTGGCACGTCTTACAGTCGGTGTCGGCAATGCTCCCTGCTGCAACGCGCACACCAGCAAGAGAATTCCAGCCCGCATTGTGAAGAGCTTCTTCCACACCAGTGGAACCTGCCGCCTGCCTTCTATAGTGTAAGTCTGGGGACTGGGGAGATGGGGGGGCAGGATCACTCCCAGCACGTGCCCAAAGGCGGGCAGGAGGTGGGCGGGCGTGTCCAGGTGCGCTCACCTTCCAGATGTGCACCGAGGGGCCTGCCAGTCGGGCCCATTCCCCTCCCCGCTTGCTCACCTCATGCACAGTCACCCCCTGGGGAGAAGTCCCGGCCGGCCGAGCAATGCGGCCGCGATGCGGAGGCCAAGGAGGCGGGAGCAGAGCTGCGCACGCCGGGGCCGACCTGCCCTGCAGGACGTTCTCCTGCCAGACCCTGCTTGGCTTCCAGCATGGGGAGGGGCATGAGCCTCCTTTTCTTAGGGATGGGGCCATGGGGAAAGGACTCGAACGAGGCTCTGCCTTTCTCCCCAACAGGTTTATCCTCAAGAATGGCAAACAGGCCTGCGCGAATCCACGTGACCCGTGGGTCATTGCTATCAAGGATCGCCTGGAACAGATCTGAATATCCTGCGGCCTCCCCATCGCTCCACGAGAAAACGCCATCCCGAACCTCAGCAGCACATGCCGTGGCTGCTCCACTGGCCTCGCGCTCTCTCCCCGCAAATCCTGGCTGAGCCCTCCGGGCAGGCACCCCAGAGAGCCTCACCCTGAACGCAGCCGCCTGGAAGCTTCTCCTCAGACAGCGAGGGAAGGCGAGCGCTCCCCAGGCCACTGGCCCGAGGACGGCCTGCCCCCCTTCCCCGGCTGGAAAAACCCTCTTCCTCCACACCATTTTCACGGCTCCAAGCGGCACTGGAAAGTGCTGCTTTCCACCACTCAGATCTGATGTTGAGTCCAAATGGTCACGGCTGTGGGAAACAGCTGCTCACCAGGTGCAGAGTTTACATTCGGTCTTGGCTTTCGGCCTTGGGAATTTCCCCAGCGATTTTCAAAAGTGGTGTGTGACCCTAATGTTTGCCCTTGCAAGATGGGGGGAAGCTGCAGTCCTCCAGCACCCCCTCCCCTCCCCTCCCCTCCCCTCCCCAGGTAGCTCTCAGGCCCGGACCAAGAAACCAAACATCTCATGCTGAGATCCAGTGTTACTGCTAAAACCGTGTCCATACCTTGTTTTCCCTCCACTTCTGAACTGACTGTTGTGTCTTTATGTTTGTATTTATTTGCCGGGGCATGAGGTATTATTTCAGGGTTTTTCTATGTTTATTTATAGCTAATATTTACGAAGCCTGTTCACTATTTATATGAGCCTCCCTTCCGTATTTGTTTATTTATTTCAACAATAAAGATGCAACCTGCCTTAGCTCTGTCTCGTTCCGAGTTCTTCTCTTCTCTGGGCATCCCAAAGTGGAGTGGGCAGCCGCTGCAGTGCCCGCGGTGGCAGAAGGGTGGCCTCCAGCAGTGGGTGAATCAGAGGACCAGTCTCCGTTCCGATGGATTCCTCGAGAAATTATTTCTGGGAACAATAAATCTTTTGGATGAGGAAAAATGTGCAGATGCTGCATAACTCCAGGTGTGAGAAAGCAGGCCACTGCCACCCTTCCCTTATTGGGTTCCTCTGGTTGGGTTCAACCAACTTCCCGTGTTGGTTGGCCAGAGCTGTGGGGCTCTGCTGTATGAGCCAGGTGGGCCGTGGATGGAGAGCCAGGGGCCCAGGAGAGGCCCTGGTCAGGCCTGAAGCCATAGCAAGCTTTAAAACCCCCATAACATTAATGCACCCACACAGAGACACACGGAGAAAATGAAACAGAGAGACTTGCAAAAAGAACAATGAAAACGGGAGTCATACCCATTTATGTACTCACGCTAAGGATGTGGGGTGGCCTGCCAAGACACAGAGAGCGCCATGGCCTGATCTAGTGGGACCAGAACCAGTAAGCCTGTCTGATTGTGCCGGAAAGCAGTTGCATTTGTCCCTGTCGATCTGTCTTAGACCAATTCAGTTTTAAAAATGGATGCCTTCAAGTAGAGGAATACAAAAGAGCGCACATGGCTACAGCAGCAGTGCAGAAAATTCCTCTGTTTTGCTGGGACTTCTGTTTTCATGATTTGCCCATCAGTTTAGAAAGGCAATTCATAAGCATGTTAAGAGGCATGGGTGAGGGCTCAATAGATTGAACAATCGATCTTTGTTTTTATTTGCTTGATTGTTCAGTCTGTGTAGTGACCGGGAACTTCCAACCCAGGTTTCGAACCATGTCCTCATGACCAGTGGAGACGCATAATGCATCTGCAGGATCCTTTTGTGTCGAGCGCATCACCCTCATGTGACAGTGCCGCATGAGATGCTATTGAACTGTGGCTTCAGGAACACCTGACTGGGAGCTGCTTTCCAGCAGCATCGGATTCCCACCCTAGATCTGTAAGGATCTGGGAACAGCCAGCACTGGAGCTCCAGACCAGGCAAAATTATTATTATAATTATTATTATAACATTTCTATGCCGCCCCTTGCCAAAACCTCGGGGCGGCTTACAACACAATAAAATACATTGAAATACAATAGAACATAATAAATTACCATTAAATACAAAAATACAAAAAAATGGTGGCAGATGGAGTTAAGGAGCGCAAATATGGCAGTGATGATATCATGAATGTGGAAAAACCACTCAGGGGGCAGAGAGACAGGCAATCCTCTGTTGCTTTAGTGAGGACATGGCAGAGCAATCGCTTCTGTGCGGAGTCTTGGGGCTTTTCTCCTTGAGTACAGCTTGTCATTCTTTCACTGGGGTTTTAGAAAATGCTGTGACCCACCAGTTTTGCTTCTGTGTCTATCAAGCACTTCCCACTAGGTTTTTATTAATATTATTATCATTTTGTAAAAGCATGGAAAATGCAGGATTAAATTGTGGAAGTAAAAAGAAGCACAATTTCTTCTTTTGGGGCACCTTGGGGAGCAGAAAAGCAGGGAAGGGAACGTCCTTCATGCAGTGCCTGGATCTCAGTTCTGCTGCAAACCCAAAAGCAGATACAGGCAAGGAACCGCCAGCTAACAGCCTTGTGTAGGAAAATGGCTTCTTTTCCTTATGTGGGTCCGGCCCCGCTGGGTGTCTTCCAGGGGCTTTGGGCTGCGACGCCAAGTATCCCCCGCCAGCCCAGCCCCAGCGGGTTGCCAGGCCAGAGGAAGGGAGCTGCTGCCACTGACGGCGCAAGTGAGACCGGCCAAGGAGGCCGAGCGGCTGGAGCCCCTTTTGGCACTGATGGCTCGGCCTAGCTGCTTACCCTTCAGGCCATCACAATGGCATCCTTGCAGCAGAGCTGGCTGTGGAAGATGGAGCTGCTGTGCAAGTTCTCTGAAAGGTGCCAGGCTGGGGAAGAGGAGTATCCCAAATGTTGACGCCTCTGCATCTTTCTCCCCTCTGTTCCAGGCCTCCTGATCCTAGCACTGTGGCTTCTCCAGCACCCAACCCATTGCCAAGCCACTGTAACTGCTACACAGGCAAAAACTGCCTTTGGTTGACACAACAAGGCAAATTGCTTGGACTTGGTGAAGAAGCAACATAGAAATGGCTTTCCAGAAATATTAAGTTTGGCTCACATTTACCCCAGGAAAACTTTTTTGGAGAAATTTGGGGAGGAAAATTTCAAATGGCATGGGAATACTGTCAATGGCAGCTATGCATTTCCTCCAACACAGAGAGAGAGAGAGAGCAAGAGCGAGAGCGAGCGAGAGCGCGCTTTTAGACTGGAACTGTGGCACCAACTGGAACCAATGCCTCAGGGAGGTGGTGGGCTCTTTCACACTGCTGACATTCAAGAGACCGCAGGACGGCCATTGGTCAGGGAGAGTTTAACTGGAATCCTGCACTGAGCAGGGGGTTGGATTCAACATATCGGAAATACTTGTATTTCTGGTCTTGCAACATCTTCTCCAGAACAGAAGGAACACACGCCATGAAATGTTTGGAAAGTGCTCAAGCAAAAATACATGCATTTCAAAAATATGCAGAAATATTCTTTAGTCCATGGTGGGTGTGTAGAAAAATGCATATAATTTGAAACATGCACAAAAGGTGGCGTTCTTTTTAAAAAAAATACTCCCCAAAAGCATTGTTATGGCTTTATTTGTGTAATAAACACCGTCTGCAAAGAACCAGCACAGAATGGAATGGGAGACGGGAGTTGGTGAGCAGCCATCGAAATAGCAGGGGCAGAAGCAGATTTCAGCCAGGCAAGATCAGCTGCTAGCCTGGGCCTCAGCCCTGGGGATAGTCCAGGATCTTCTCCCGCCCTTGAGAGCAGCAGGCCAGTTCGAGGGGGCATGGGGGGCTGAGAGGCACACACGGTTCTGCCCCCCACTTCTCTGCATCTGCCACCGGCGGCATGGGGCCGCTCCACTGCCCACGGGCTGGCCAGCGGGGTCTGGTGCGAGGCACAGCTTTGGGATTCCCAGGAATTCAGGGCTGACAGCACAAAGCTAGTTCTAAAGAAAAGAGACTACCTTGGAATTGTGGTGGTGACTCTTGCTTCAATTGTCAGGCGAGTCACTTCGCAACACAGCTGTGTTTTTGCCCATTCATTGTGGTTGTCAATGAAATTCATTTCATGCAAGAAGTATTTTATGCTTGCTCATGAGGGACTCCGCTTTTGGAGGATGAGTAAGGACGGTACTGATTCCACAAAGTGAAATGAGCTGGTTACCATGGAAAAAGAAAGCATGCGAGTGACTGGCTTTAGACGCAGCTCGTGCTTAGCAGAATTTCAGCTTGTGAAAGTGTTGCCTGCCTGGAAAGAATGAGATGGGGTGGATGGAGGAGACGCATGGCTCTCTGCCTATGTGAAATCAGTGAACGCCGCAGGAGTGCTACCCCTGGGAAAGGAGGCAGCACTGGGAAGCACCCCCCACACAACAGTCCCTTGGTGGGAGCTGCACAGGTGCACACCTGTGTTGTCTTTCCCTGCTCGAGGCATCTTGTGTCCAGCGGATGCTTGTGGCCTCGCCCGCCACGTGTCGCAAAGAGAAAGCCTTGCGATTTCTGTTAGCAGTTGGGCCATTTTATCACCTGCACAGAATGCTTTGAGTGCCTGAAGCTTCCCCTTGTTCCCCTCTCAGATCAGGAGTGAGGAAAGGATGGGAACGTAACATGTGCACTTCTCCAAGGAAGGTGGGGCTTGGAAGTGCCCACCAGAGCAGCAGGTGAGAGAGAGTGCTTGCCGGCTCCGGCACGGGGGAAGCAGGCTTCGAAGGCAGGGAAATGGCCCACGTATGCCTCACTATGGGCATTCTGTGCGCGCCCCCCATGCCCCCCTGACTCCTAATCCTGGGACTGATATTCACCTGCTCCTCTCTCTTTCAGGTGGGTTGTCTGCCTTTAAAAACAGTGCTAGCCTGGCTTGCTTCGCCATTTGATTAGAAGTCCATGCGCCCCTTTGCAAGGTACAAATCACCAAGCAGCTCTGGGGGCAGGAAGTGAGGTGAGGTGGATCCCTGAAGGTTCGGGCACCGGCCAGCCGGGACTGGGCAAAGCTGCCTCCTGCTGCCCACTCAAGGACCCCCCCAGTCCTGAAGGCGGATGAACCAAGGAAGCCTGGCCTGACCTGCATGGGGTGGGCGCTGCAGTGGTGCCTCCCCTCCAGCTTTTGCCTAGAATCCCCATCGCCCTCGCAAGGCCTGGCAGGCAGCAGGGCGGGAGGAGCAGCATCCCACATGGCACCTTCTCCACCGCTGCTCCTGATCCAGCTTGCCTGTTCTGTGTACAGACTGAGCACACAGTGATAAAATGGGCCCTTGTCTGATGCCTCTGCTTCTAGGAAACCATCCTGCTAGTGCTGAGGTGCACCCATTTCTTGTGGAGTCTCACACTTACCTCTGGAAAAAAACCCTTTGAATTCAGTGCAACTGACTTCTGTTTAGAATTATGCAAGCCATTTGATATAATCCTGAATGTTTCCCAGTCCACAGATCTTTCTGAATCCACTGCTATTTCCCTGCCCCACCAGGTCCAGTTTCCTGGACCATCTCAGCTACCTGTTCCCACCCCAGAAGTCAAGTGAATGCCTTTCCTTCCCTCCAACCCTACTCAGGTGCTTAAATGTACTGAAAGGCAGTCAAATTGTTTCACCTGGAGGCAGAAGCTTCTGCAATTTTGCCTCTCTCCTTTCCTGGCAGGGAACATTCAGTAAACTAAATCCTGAATAATCCAGGATGTCACAGATCAGCTGTCTGAAGAGGTCGCCTGTGGCGGAGCCTGCCTCCTAAGGACACCCCATTTGTAGAAAGGGAGATTTGGGGCCCAAAATGAAGATTCGGAACTCCAGCCAGAGATTTGGAGTCCCAATCCAGCCCTGCCCCCCCCCACCC